TCTCTCTCTCTCTCTCTACACACTTTGCACTATTTTGTTTTGGTGATTTTTTTTTCTCAGCACACATAAATAATTTTTCAACACAATATCACTTGCAAGCCAGTGTGAGAACTAGCTGCTTTTCCCCTTGGAATGCATAGTTTTGGAACCCAACTTCATACAAGCTTTTTTGCAACTTCAAGCCAAACTGAACTTCCAGAGCAGAGCGTGGTGAGTCACAAAAGCCATTCAAGAGCCAAACAGAACTTTACAAAAACTGAAATACTCCAGCTACTCTCCACTTTTATCTATTTCTTTTAATTTTTTTTTATTCTCTTTATTGTCAACCCATATTGTGTATCTTTTATTCCACTCCTTCCCCTCTCCAATAAATAATCTCCACTACTTCTATTTGCCAAAAAAAAAAAAAAAAAAAAAAACAACAACTACAAGCGCACTCCCACCACGGTCTCACTTTTTCTTTTTTTTTTTTATTATTAATTATTATCTCCAATTAATCACTAACACACTCTGGTTTTCCACTGGCAGTGTCCAACTTTAAAACCAATCCCACTCTTTATTTATTTTTAATCAATTTTTCTTGCCTTTCACCACCACTTTTGACCTTACAATTTTCAATCGCACATTTCTCCTTTCACTTTTGCACCCACTCACCGGTCTCCCTCTCCCCAATAATCGAATACCTTTTTTCTTTATCTCTTCATTTTATTATTTTTTTTATTGTGTCCTGTGTCTATCTGTGTGTGTGTGGTTCAGCGTGTGTCTCCTCTCCTCCTCACATGCTATTATAATTATTATTATTATATTATTCAAAAAAAAAAAAAAAATCTATTTGGCTCCACTTTTTCATCTCTTTTGTTTCAACCTCAATAGGTTTCTATTCTTCAACACCTATTTGAGTTTGAGGGGGGTTATACATATGGTTACACACCATGCGAACCACCGAAGCTGGTGAGCATGGTTATACACCATGGGAACACACAAGCCACCTCATGGTGCACTCCCTAGTCGCCCCCTTGGTGCACCACCACAAGCTTCTACATCGGTCCTGACATCGGTCCGGCATGACCCCGTAAACTGTTCCGACATTGATTCCGGTCAGCTTCTATATCGGTCCGTCATGACCTCGTAAACTGTCCTGCTACAACGGTCTGACATGACCATACAGTGTCTTCACCAACGGTCCGACACGACCATACGTGTCTACTATCCTCTTTTATTTATGTATTAGTTTTATCTTCATGTTTTGTTCCTTTCCAAAACTCAAGTTGGTTTGTACCTATCCTCCTTGAGTTTGAGGGGGATGTTTAGAATATATAATATATTAGTAAGATAGTGTGCCTTTCGGTGCCTTTCGTGATAGTGCTTCACTTTCCATCATGAGCTCAAACATCATTTGTCTGTAAACTTCTCCTATATAAGGAACCCCCCACCATTTGTAATATACAAACACTTAACATCAATCTTAAATACATACAATTTATTCTCTCTGTAATTCCTCTCTATCAATTTAATCTTACAATGTTAAAATGAAACAACAAAGGCTATAATTAAGTGATTCAATTAATTTAGGGGGAAAAAAGAAGAATAGATTGCGAAGAGATAGTAATTAGATTAAAACATTGTATCCATGTCAAATTCATGTTTCATGCCAAAAGTGTAAGATAGAATAAATAGGTTTGGCCATCGTTATTACCTGAGAGCCATTAAAACCGAGAGATTGGAATAAAGGATCTTGGTGGCGATGAATCGGAAGAAAATAAGAGTGAAAGCGAACGTGAAAGATCCCATATTCGGAAGGGTCTGTTGCCAATCTAAGCACAATGGCGTTTTGTCGATCTTCTTTGTGGAGTTAGTGCCACATGATATCCCAAATGTGACATAAGAGACCACCTCAGAGCAACACAAAGATAGAAAACACTTCTTATTCTTACTTGTGTTGTTACAACACTGTCGTGACCAAGCATGATGTACGCGTCGTATCGAAAGAAGTACCAGTATCCTCGCGGCAACCTGTACAAGATCAACAAAATCATGCCCACGTGTTGGGTTGGCCGGACACCCGGTTATCCACCCCCCTCCCCTCAACAAAAAAAAAAAACGAAAAGAAAAGAAAAAAAAGCTCTAATAAAGTTACACCCATTTGTTTTCATAAAAAATAATAAAAAAACACAGAATTTTTATCCCTTTTGGTATGATAAGAAAACGAAATCAAGCAATCGACATAAATGAACTGATTTGTGAAAATATTTTTCTGGTAAATATTTTCCAAAACTAATGAGATAGACCAGGGTTTTATAACGTTACCAACCATACTACCAACTTACCTACCATTTGTTGCTAACCAATGCGAAACCAGAAAATTAAGTTAGATGAGAAATTACTTAATTATAATTTTTATTTTAAAAAAAATCATGATCAACATTAAGATAATAATACTTTGATGAGTCTAATTTAAGCAAAGAAAATTAAAAATCATATATTAATCAGAAACAAATTAAAGGTTCTATAAATAGTGTGAAATAACTCGGTGCGCGGATAAGTGATGCAAGTTTGTAATTTTAGCACAAAAATTATGATCAAAATTCCTAATTTTAGAAATATAAAACACATTATTTATAGTAAAATTATTATAAAATCTATTTAATTTTTATTTGATAGAAAATATTAAAGAGATGATATTGATTAAAATTATTGTTTTGAATGAAAATTATTATATAGTCTCAGAGTATCATATGACATGCCTATGTGATGCTCAAAATATGAGAGAAATCACAAATTACACTAAGTAGTTTATCAATTACCTGAAAATATGAGTTATTTATATCTAATCCATATGATTTTCCACTACAACTATTGGTTAGACTACTAATATATAAACAATACCATATAGTATTTCAAAAGTATAAAATAATTATTTATTGTGAACAATACAATAAATCCTTAGCCAAAGAACATGTTAAAAATAATATATAATAATATATATATATATATATATAATAATGAACACAAATAAAAACAAAAAAAGTTAAAATTGAGAGGAACCGTGACTCCCAAGCCTTCTTGAACTCCACCCCTGGCTACCATCCATCACGCCATTTTGAGTACTATTAATAAAACGTGAATCAAATAACAACCCTCAACCCCCCCCCAAATGCCCTTCCCTTCCCTTCCCTTCGTAAATGTCCCCTCAAATTATGAACAACACAGTCTTAGGACAACAACCAAATTCAAGAAAAACATTTTTTTTGTGTTTTTTTCAATATGAATTTTTTTAGAATTATATTTCTTGAAAAAATAAAGAGTATAAATATTTATGTGTGCCGAGAAAAAAAAAATCACCAAAACAAGATAGGCAAGATGTGTACCGTTGTAGAAGCTGACCGGAATCAATGTCGGGACAGTTTATGGGGTCATGCCGGACCGTTTGTAGAAGCTTGTGGTGGTGCACCAAGGGGGCGACTTAGGGAGTGCGCCATGAGGTGGCTTGAGTGGTTCCCATGGTGTATAACCATGCTCACCAGCTTCGGTGTATATATTTTTAACATGTTCTTTGGCTAAGGATTTATTGTATTGTTCACAATAAATAATTATTTTATACTTTTGAAATACTATATGGTATTGTTTATATATAGTAGTCTAAACCAATAGTGTAGTGGAAAATCATATGGATTGAATATAAATAACTCATATTTTCAGGTAATTGATAAACTACTTAGTGTAATTTGTGATTTCTCATATTTTGAGCATCACATAGGCAATGTCATATGATACTCTGAGACTATATAATAATTTTCATTCAAAACACATAATTTATAAGCAATATCATCTCTTTAATATTTTCTATCAAATAAAAATTAAATAGATTTTATAATAATTTGTACTATAAATAATGTGTTTTTATTTCTAAAATTAGGAATTTTGATCCATAATTTTTTGTGCTAAAATTACAAACTTGCATCACTATCCCGCACCGAGTTATTTCACACTATTATAGAATTTTAATTTGTTTCTATTAATAATGATTTTTAATTTCTTATGCTTAAATTTAGCTCATCAAAGTATTATTATCTTAATGTTGATCATGATTTTTTTAAAATAAAAAATTATAATTAATAAGTTTCTCATCTAACTTAATTTTCTGGTTTCGCCACTGGTAGCAACAAATGGTAAGGTAAGTTGGTGGTAATGGTGGTAACGTTATAAAACCCTGGTCTATCTCATTAGTTTTGGAAAATATTTACCAGAAAAATATTTTCACCAAATCAGTTCATTTATGTCGATTGCTTGATTTTTCATTTTCTTATCATACCAAAAATGTAAAAATTCTGTTTTTTTATTTTATTTTATGAAACAAATGGAGTGTTAACTTTATTAGAAGCTTTTCTTTTCTTTTCTTTTCGTTTTTTTTTTTGTTGAGGGGAGGGGGGTGGATAACCGGGTGTCCCGGCCAACCCACCTACCGTGGGCATTGATTTTGTTGATCTTGTACAGGTTGCCGGAGGATACTGGTACATTCTTTCGATACGACGCGTAACATCATGCTTGTCACAACAGTGTAACAACACAAGTAAGAATAAGAAGTGTTTTCTATCTTTGTGTTGCTCTGAGGTGGTCTCTTATGTCACATTTGGATATCACTGTGGCACTAACTCCACAAAGAAGATCGACAAAACGCCATTGTGCTTAGATGGCAACAGACCCTTCCGATATGGGATCTTTCAGTTCGCTCTTCCTCTTATTTCTTCCGATTCCATCGCCA